GGTCTCGACCTGAAACGTCAGCTTTCCTGCTCCTCTGATGCTGCTTGGCCTGCTGTGTTCATCCAGCTGTACACCTTGTTATCTTAGATTCTCCAGCATCGGCAGTTCCTACTATCTCCATATCCAAAACACTGTTGCTCAAATCCTTATTTGTACTAAGTCCTGTTCATTCATCGTCTCTTTGTGCACTGACATACATTGGCTTTTGTTTAAACAAAGCTTTAACTTTGAAATTTTCATCTTTGTCTTCAAAATTTTTCATGGCCTCACCCCTCCACACCCCCACCTCCACCCCATTTCTGTTCTCACTCCTACTTCACATATCTGTGCCTTTAATTATGACACCTGGAGCATCCCAATTTTAGTCACTTCACAATGGGTGGCTGTGCCTTCAGCTGTCAATGTACTAAGTTCTGGAATTGCCTTCCTAAGCCTCTGTCTCCAGACCTTGTTATCTTTCATCAAAATATTTGTTAACTCTTTAATCATTTACGTTAATATTTCATGAGATAATTCGATGTTAAATTTTGCTACATAACACTCATGAATTGCCTTGGAATGTTTTAATTACATGAAACTGCAACGAACATGTATGTTGTTGTTGTTCAGATATGAAAGGGCAAGAGGTTAGAAGGGCTAAAAGGTTTGGAAGCAAGATTAGAAATATTTCTTTATTTGGTATGTGTTTATTATCTACTGTAGACTACAAGAAAGAAAGGTAAAGCCCAGAACATGAGACTCATTAAAGAAACAGCTAAAATACCAACATGGAAAAATGATGAGGTTAGCAACCTGGATCCAATAACAGCATTCTGTTGTTTTCACAGGTAGCAGTGGTTTACTTCAGTGACCGTTTCTTCAGTGGAAGCAGAAAGTAATTTCTCCTGAACTCAATCCCCCTTTAACAATGTGGTATTTATCAGTTTGTAGTTGTTCTTCACACAGACATCCCTTCAACATTTGGGGACAAGAGTATCCCAAGAAGACCATGTTGAGTGATGTTATTTCTCTATGCTTAGATAAGTATTTGTTGATCCTGTTGAATAATGGTTGTTAGGGAATGTAATTGATCATTTCTGATATGACTGAACTTGCATTCCAGTTTAAATGTGCCATCACTTCTATTTCATTAAAAATAAATCAGATGGGAAACAGTTGACTTTATACTAATCCGGCATTTGCACAGCACCAGTAAATATAGAAAAATAAATTTCATATAATTGCAAAATTACACTGCAGTGTTTCATACAATAGTGTTTTAGATGCAATTCAGGGCTCTACTCCTGCTTGTGGAGGCCTCCATTAAACGATAAGAAAATTGGACTTTCTTCAAAGTCACTTTTTATCTGGTTGCCAAGATTCTTGAGTGGTGGTTTTTAGGCAAAGACTTGTAACCTCTGAGTAATTATTCATTTTGTTATTACTCCACTTTTCAGTCCCTGTTGTAAAATGCACAGCTTTAAGACACATGTCTTTTCCCCAGTAGTCGTTTTTACCAGCCACAAAAAGTCAAATTCCAAGACATTATCTGCAGTGCGGAAATAACCTTCACTTTATTAAATAAAAAATAAAAACAGAAAATGCTGTAAAAACTCAGCAGGTCTGGCAGCATCTGTAGACAAAGAAACAGAGTTTACATTTCGAGTCTGAACTGTTTTTGTTTCCATGTTGTGTGTCACTATCAATGTGCTAAATAGGACAGATTTGGAAAGATCTAGCAACTCAAGGCTGGGCATTCATGAGATTCTGTGGGCCACCAACAACAGCATTGTATTCCAGCACAATCTGTAACCTCATGGCCCAGCATATCCCCCATTCAACCATTACCATCAAGCCAGGGATCAACCCTAGTTCATTGGAGAGTGCAGGAGGGCATGCCAGGAACAGTACCAGACATACCTAGAAATGAGGTGTCAACTGGTGAAAATACCAAACAGGACTACTCGCATGCTAAACAGCATAAGCAGCAAGTGATAGACAGAGCTAAGCGATCCCACAACCAATGGATCAGATCTAAGTTCTGCAGTCCTGCCAAATCCAGTCGTGAATGCTGGTGGACAATTAAAAAACTCACTAGAGGAGGCTCCACAAATATTCCCATCCTCAATGATGGAAGAGCCCAGCACATCAGTGCAAAAGATAGGCTGAAGCATTCACAGCATCAACAGCCAGAAGTGCTGAGTGGATGATCCATCTCGGCCTCCTCCAGTGGTCCCCAGCATTACAGACACCAGTCTTTAGCCAATTCGATTCACTCCACGTGATGTCAAGAAACTGTTGGAGACACTGGATACAGCAACTGCTGTGGACCCTAACAACATTCCGGCAATAGTACTGAAAACATGTGCTCCAGAAGTTGTCGCTTCCCTAGCCAAGCTGTTCCAGTACAGTTACAACATTAGCATCCATCTGACAATGTGAAAAATTGCCCAAGTATATTGTGTATTTAAAAAGCAGGACAAATCCAACCCAACTAATTACCACCCCATCAGTCTACTGTTGATCATCAGTAAAGTAATGGAAGGTGTCAACAACAGTGATACCAAGCAGCACCTCCTCAGCAATAAACTGCTCAGGGACGCCCAGTTTGGGTTCCATTAGGGCCACTCAGCTCCTGACCTCATTACAGCCTTGGTTCAAACATGGACAAAAGAGTTGAATTCCAAAGGTGAGCTGAGATTGACAGCACTTGACATCAAATCCACATTTAACCGTGTGTGGCATCAAGGACCCCTAGCAAAACTGGAATTAATGGGTATATCGAGGCAAACTCTCCACTGGTTGGAGTCATACCTGGCACATAGGAAGATGGTTATGGTTATTGGAGTTCAGTCATCTCAGCTACAGGACATCTCTGCAGGAGTTCCCCACAGTAGTGTCCCAGGCCCAACCATCTTTAGCTGCTGCATCAATGACCTTCCTTGCATCATAAGGTCAGAAGTGGGAATGTTCACCAATGATTGCCCAATGTTCTACACCATTCATGACTCCTCAGATACTGAAGCAGTCTATGTTCAAATATAACATGATCTGCACAATATCTGCACCACACAAATGCCAGGAAATGACCATCTCCAATAAGAGATGATCTAACCACCACCCATTGACACTCAATGGTGTAACCATCACTGAATCCACAACTATCAGCATCCTGGGGATTACCATTAACCAGAAACTCAAGTGGTCTCACCACATAAAGACAGTAGCTGCAAGAAAAGGTCAGAAGGTGGAATATTGTGGCAAATAACTCACCTCCTGTTTCCCCAGAGCCTGTCCAGCATCTACAAGGCACAAGTCAGAAGTGTGATGGAACACTCTCCACTTGACTGGATGGTTTCAGCTCCAACAATACTCAACAAGCTTGACACCATCCAGAATAAAGCAGCCCGCTTGATTGGCACCACATCCACAAATATCTACTCCCTCCACTATCAATGCTCAGTTGCAACAGTGTGTACTATCTTCAAGATGCACTGCAGAAATTCAGCAAAGGTCCTTAGATAGTGCTTTCAAACCCATGACCACTTCCATCTTAAAGAACAAATGCGGCAGATACATGGAAACACCATCACCTGCAAGTTCACTGTCAAACCAGCCACCATCCTGACTTGGAAATACATTGCCGTTCCTTCACTGTCTCCAGGTCAAAATCCTGGAATTCCCTTTCAAAGAACATTATGGGTACATGGATCACAGCGGTTCAAGGGGGTAGCTCACCACCACCTTCTCTAGAGCAACTAAGTTAGCCAGCCAAAGAAACAGGCGTCCATGAGTGAATAAAAACAAAAATCTCACTATTTAGTGATCTGGTGACTATACTATGTAATTGAACCCTTTTTGATCCTTGTCTTTAACCCGAGTGATTCTGTCCCAGAACTTTCTTGGATGTCCTCTTTCACCAGCACTGCAATGCACTCCTAAACCAAAACTACTGCCCTTCATCTTTTCCTTCCTTTAGTATTTTTTCTGAACATCTTATACCCAGGAATATTAAACACCCAATCATATCCTTCCTCAAACCAGGTCTCTGTTATCACAACAACAGTAGATTTTTACATGGCAATTTGCCCTTGTAATTCCCAAACTTATTTATTGTAGTCCATGCATTCAAAGTGCATGCACAGAAATCTTAATTTAGACTTTATTATTTTCTCCCTTATTCTGACTCCATCGATCAACTTTCTTTTCTCTGTACTGGTGCTATCCATCTCTCCAGGTGTTTTTGGCACCCTGGTATTCCTCTCTGATATTCTCTCTCAGTACTGACACTCCTGCCAAATTAGTTTGAAGTTCTCTCAACAGTTCTAGTGAAAGATCCCACAAGGAACTCAGTCCCAGCTCTGTTCTGGTATAACTTGTAGATGCACCATCTTCCCTAGAGCCAGTGTCAGTATCCCAGAAATCTAAAACCCTCCCTCCTGCTACATCTTCCCAGCCACGCATACACTTACCGTATCCTTCTGTTTCTATCCTTCTATTTTCATGAGCAACTTCAAACAGAAGAATGTCCAGCAGCTGTTCTGGGACAAATCCTGGCACTATGGAGGCAACTAATACTGTTGCCATCACTGAATAACCCACTATCAATATCCAGAACTGGAATCACCACATAAACAGAATGGCTACAAGAGCAGGGCAGAAGTTAGGAATACAGCGATGAGTAACTCGCCTTCTGACTCCCCAAAGTCTGTCCATCGTCTACAAGGCACAAGTTAGGAGTGCGATGGAATATTCCCCACTTGCTTGGATGAGTGCAGCTCCAACAACAATCAAGAAGCTTGACACCATTCAGGATAAAGCAGCCTGCTCAATAGGCATTACACCCACAAGCATCCACTCCATCCACCACTGGCGCTCAGTAGCAGCACTATGTATTATCTACAAGATGCACTACAGAAATTCACCAAAGATCCTCAGATAGCACCATCCACAAACATGTCCAACTAGAAGGACAAGGGCAGCAGGTACATGGGAACACCACTACCTTCAAGATCCCCTCACCATCCTGACTTGGAAATATATCGCCGTTCCTTCACTGTCGCTGGGTCAAAATCCTGGAATTCCCTCCATAATGGCATTGTGGGTTAAACCACAGCAGGTTGACTGCAGCAGTTCAAGAAGGCAGTTCATTACCACTTTCTCAGGGCAACTAGAGATGGGCAATGAATGCTAACCCAGCCAGCAACACCTACATCTATCCTTGGGTCACAGTCAGCCTGTGTTATTTCATGCCTTCACGGATCATCTGTACTGCACTGTTTTCAATGACTGACTTGGCAATGGATCCATGCATCTCTGTGCCATTATACCAACCCATTAACCAGCACCAATTAAGGATGAGATCTTCTGCATCCACACAGTGACCTGCGACATGTGGCTCTCCATAGGTTGCCACGTTCTGAATGAAGGAGTTGATGCACATATGTACTGGAGACGTGGCACCAGTCATGACACAATGGATTCCTCATCAGGCACACATGGAAGTGAAGTCTCTGGAACTGTAATAGATATTTCCACATTTCCCTCTGCTGGTGTATAAGTGTCTGCCTCACTGCTGATCCTCAACTCTCAGCAATTGCATGCAGTTGAATATTCCTAGTTCTGTCCTCATTCATCTCAGGGATACTGGTGTAGAATGTTTATGATTGTGTGTGTGTTGTTCAGCCTTGCTGGTTACAAATAAACTCACTTATTTATGGATTAAGGTCTTTACCTGAAGGATGATGAGTAATGCAATCGACACAGGTTTCAGATCTTGAATAATAAGAGTATGTTTCATTTCTACAGCAAATCTCATGGCGGCATAAGAATATTTAATATTGGTTATATGACTAATCACAAAGTAGATTACCATTCCTTGGGTTTCATTGAACTCGTTCCCTTGAGTCTCCTTACTCCCAGTTGTTAAACTTCCAAAACTACCCAAGGTTCAGGTGGGATACGTGAGGCAATTTTCCTCACAGCAATGAGTTGTGTATTTGGCAGGCTAAGCATGAAATGTTCACTCTGTTGACTTTGGCTGCTGGGCCATGTGTTCTTTGGGTGAAGCCCTCAAGACTATACCTCTTCCTTGGGGTCTGCAATTTCCTTCAGTCTTGGTTGTAGAGAGAGAGAGATGCTGCTGTACAGATCTTGTGGAGTTGTGTTTTTCCTTTCCTTTTCCCATGGTTCGACCTGCTTCCT